TGTGTGTGTGTGTGTGTGTGTGTGTGTGTGTGTGACAGAGAGAGAGAGAGAGAAAGAATTAGGTGGAGAGATTACATTTCCGACCATCAAGTCTGCATTCAACAGATCAAACCACTCATCACCCCCCTCCTTATTTCTCTTTCCTCTATGAATCCCCACCCTCCCTTTCACCTAAGTCCATACCAGGCAACTTCTGGTCCAGGGGTCATCAAATTGCGGCTCGAAAGCATATGTGGCTGTTTCATTACGGACCTGAGGCTCTGAAGTAATTTCAAAGGATATGATTCAGATAGATGATGATTTCATTGGTTTGTAAAAATATCCTTAGGACTCTCAGACCATTTCAGTTGTTCTGAGGGGCAGGATCGGCTCTTCCTCCCAAGTTTGCCCACCCCGGTTCTAACCCATTGCTTTCTCCTCCCCTCCCGGCCTCTCCTCCTCGGGGAGTCTCCAGAGTGGGTTCCCTTTGGCGCGCAAGCCTTCGTCTTGGAGCGTGTTCTCGTAGCAGTGGGCTTGCACCATAGCTGTCCTTTTGTGATTGACTAAGTTCACTGAGCGTGAGGTCCCTCACGTCCTTCCATGTCATGGGGTGCTTATTGGTTTCGTCGTTGTTTTTAGCGATGCATCGCATCCCCCACTGTGGAGGCACCCACGTTTCTTGATCCATTTTCCTACTGACGGCCATTTGGGCTGTTTCCACCCTCGTGTTCTTGTGAACAGTACTGAGCCGAGCAGATGTCTGTTCTCTGTGGCTCAGAAGGATTCCTGGCTCCTAGGGAATGTTTATTCCCAACGGTCGGAGGGAGTGCCATATCGCTTTCCATGGAAGCGCACAAGAGGATCTTTCTTGTGGAACCTGTGTCTTGTTCAGTCAGGACTCAAAGAGACCAGGCTCCAAGCCGCTGCTTTCCACTGTCCTGGAAGTTTGACTCTTCCTAGCCTTTGAAGAACAAGGGAACTGGAAGAACAAGTCTTGCTTGTTTTCACCCAGGAATGCTCTGCTTTTCTGGCTTGGAATCATCAGGCTGGTAGCTGGGCCCTGATAGGCCCAGCCCACACTCGAGGCTTTGAGGATGTTCAGGGGCAACGGAACCCTGTCCTCCCCTTCACCCCACTGCCCAGCCCTCCATCCCGATGGTCTTCATGTTCAGGGACGGGAAAAGGCAGGAAAGAGAACAGGCCCTCGCAAATCCCACAGGAGCCGAGTAGTCCTGATTGGTTAGAGCTCATCCATTCCTAGCATCCGTTCTCAGCTGGCCACTCGCTGTGTGACAGGAGGAAACCCCTCGGGCCCTGGGAGTGCATTTCCCTCCCTGTTCACTGGGGCCGGGAGCTAAGCACTCTGTCTCTCCGAGGTCCATTTCAGCTCTAACATTTCAGGGGGGGTGCGTAGGAATTTTTTGTGCTCTGGTTGTAAAACGAGTCAGAATCAGTCCCTGGGCAAACTGTTGGGAGGCTGCATCTGACTTCCTCTGGCTTCAGAAGGGAGGGGCAGAACATGTCTCCACACCAGCCCAAGGCCAAGGACCACAGCACGGAGGTCAGACACGCCTCCACCCGCCCTCCTTCTTGGCCATAGTCTGACTCCAGCCATCCTCTCACAATGCGCTGCTTCTCTGCTGGCTTCAATATCCCGTGCAACAGCTGCTCCAAATTCACAGGCAACTCTCACGATTTGGTGGGGTGGGCTGTTATTAGGGACGTTAACAGGTTATCACAAGGCAGGATCAGAAAGCATTCTGGATTCCACCACTATGGATACAGCAGCACCTCTCCTTGGCCAGCTGCCCAGTCTGTCTCTCTGGTCCTCAGCCTCTCCGCTACGTGATCCCTTGGATCTCCAGTGTCCGCAGGCCAGGAACCTGGCCCTCTGTTCTGCCCCTCAGTCTGTCTGGGCTCTGCTTCTCTTTCTGTCTCCGGGGCTCCTGGCCTCAGCCTCTGCTCCTGGTATGGCAGGTCCTCTGCTGCCTCTGCCGTGTCAGGCAGGGGTGGGAAACGATTGGTCTTCCTGGTGGTTGTTCGTCCTTCAGGGTCCTGCGGATTCCCTCTGTTCCTACTTCGGGGATGGCTCTTGTACACAGGGGTGTGGTAACACTGACCATTTCTTGAGTTAGGGTCCTCTACATTTCCTCTGCGAGGTCCCAGCCAATCATTGGGTGGGAGCAATAAAGAAAGGGATAGAAGAAGCATATGAAGAAATTAATTTCCCTTCCCCACAGTGCCTACCCATAAAGGACTTGGGGGAAAGTTGTGGGTGAGCCTGGAATAGGGGTGCAGCAATAGTCCCTGGGTGCTATCTGAGAGATGGAAGGCTCTAGTCCACCGGGAGGTACAAAGTAGAGCATTTCTGGAAACCTGGTGATTGGAAACCCCATGGGCACAGAGGGGTTCACCACGGGTTAGAGTTGACATGAGGGCAGTTGACAGGGGGAGAAACACCGCTTGGTGATTCAAGGAATGAGTTCCCGCTCTTGCTTTGCCGCGAGCTGGATGGCAGGCCCTGGGCAGATCCCTTCCTGTTCTGGGCCTGGTTGTGCACCGCACAGTGGATTCCTACTCCCCGGGATCCTGCAGAGCCGAGAACTGTCCCGCTGGGCTTCCTCGACATTGCTTGATGGGTGAAAGCATATGGCAAGGTCTACGGGGGTTGTGGTTAGCAGGGGGAACACGTTGACCATTGCGATGACAGACTCCGTTCTGAACCTCAGTTTCCTACCACTGATATCGACCCATGTTAGGTTAAAACTACCTCTGTGCACCCTGCCAGGTGCCGGCAACCCTGTAAGTGCACGCAGTGGTCGCAACAGGCAGCCCGGTCATCCAGACTAGACGGAGGCGGTTCCCATCATGACTGTGTGCTCAGTGGGTTCTGACCTAAGTCAAATGCCTAGTACATGTTTAGTTTGCCATATTGTCAGTGTCGCTGTGAATCACAGCCTTGCCTAACTGGGAGTGAACATCTGGGCATGATAACATCAGCGGTCTCGGTGCGTGTTGCGGATATTACTAATGATAAGACACACACAACAAACACGCAATGGTCAAGAACACAGTTTGCCGTAACTCAATACATCAGAAATTGGGAACTATCCCCTTCTCCCCCCAAAACCCCACGGCCCTC